GTGTATGGTTATGACCTGCCTTTCTGGGCTATCTGGTTTGGGAGCTTGGTGAAACTTGAATTGAATACCAAAGTAGTTGGAATATGTTGTGAAGTTAGTACTGGGGTTGGAGTGAACTCTACAAAGGCATAGCAGTTTAATGGTATGTCCTGACTGCCAGTGTTGGTCTCGGCCATAGCAATACCAGGTTAGCTGTAAGAATAGGATACAGAAAATTCTAGAAGGTTTAGTACAAGGTCAAAGGTTTCTCATATGAGTGAACTGCTTTAAAGACTTAGTGACTATGGCATATTTGAACTAGTATCGACTAGGGCATCTTGGTAGGTGTAGGTAGGTGGATGGATACAGGAACAGAATGGTTAAATAGGAAACCTACAAGCAGGTTCCAGATATGGCAGCTAGTGTAGAACCTTCAGGTGAACTACTTAAATTAGACAATGACTAAAGTTATACAAGTGGCTAGTTATACACTCTTTTCATGTTGTCCTCTGTAGTTGTAATGCAACTATTAGTGAATGTACTATCAATAAAATCATAGGTCGCAAGTACTTACCTTAATATTTAAAAAAAAAAAAAAGTATTTTATTTGTGCAATATATAAAACAAATATTATTTTAAATAGTAGCTTCTTGTAAGTTAAAGTCTATTATTAGAAGAAATATATAATAATTTATTTAAATATGCCTCTCTTGTATTGAGGTAGATATAATTATATTATCATATAAGATTTCTCTAAAAATTTACTTGACAAATTCTATTTAATAATCATAAAGTTAATAAATTTTTCACTTGGAAAATTAGCCAATATGTATTGTTTGATAAATTAGACATGTCAAAATCTATCTTTACTTATCAATAATGTAAATACTGCACTAACTTTTATAAATTCTTGTAGTAGTTGAATAGCTTTTTTATTTCTTGATAGTATTATTAGATATATTATTTGTATTATAGAATAAATAAAATTATCTTTATATTTTTTATTTTTTTAATTGATGTTTCTATTCTCTAACAGAAAGTTCTTTATAAATTATACTATATAAATATGTAGTAATCAGTCAAATCAATAATTTGATTGTAATTTCTAAATATAACTGCTCTTCAAAGATCAAATAACTTCTACTTAGATTAAATTTACATTATTTATTATAAATATTAAAATATATATATATTAACAAAATATTCATGAAGCCCACTTGGGAAGACCCAAGTAAAGAAGTAACACAGATCTTTGACAATACTACTGTAAAGGCTAGACCTAGAAAACAGATACCAATATGAAAGAAATCAGGTAGGCAAAAACCTTGAGTAAGGGGTATCACCAACCAGGCTGCCAAAAGTCTCAAACCAGAAGAAAAGGACCTTGGGAGCAGACTCTAGGGTACCAGGAACAGGTTACAGTCCTATCAGGCTCTCTGAATTAAGAGTCTAGTTTTAAAAACAAAGTATACTATAAGTACTAGGAATATGCTGTGAAGTCAGTACTGGGGTTTGGGTGAACTTTACAAGAATGAGTCCTGTTAGCAAAAATCAAATATGGGTAGTTAGTTAGCAAGAGGCTTCCTGGAGCCCTATAGTCAGGTAATATACTCTAAAATATGTAACGGCCTAACAGATGTACAGACAGAAAGGTTATAGTTAGGTTAGACGGCATCTAATTAGGTGTACAGGAGCTTGTGCTGCTATCTGCTAGTGTAGTATAAGGGTAACCTTGTACAAGTTATATAATCATAATTGAATTCACAATAAAGGCAGTAGTCACCATAACTAATGGCCTTAGTGAAAGCAAAAAAAAAAAAACAACAAAATATTCATTTTTTCTTTCTTTATGTTTAATAATTTGCACTAACTCAATAATAGATTTTGTGAGTATAAGATTATAAGTATCTAAAAGCTTTATTAGTAGACAACTATATTTATATAAGTGATTGTTATTTTTGTATTGAAAGTCATACCATTGCACAAGTGCAAGATTAAATGATGTAGAGTAATTTTCAATAATAACAGTAATCAATATTAAAATCTGAAATAAATAAATATTATTAATATATAATAAAATTCTAAAATAACTAAAAAAAATATTATTAGCAAACCTTGCAAAAACAAGTTCCATTATCAGTTCTAAACTCTTCACTTTTATCTACACTAATTGATACATCACTAAATGATAGTTCATTATAATAATTGCTTGTTGCTCTAATGTAATCTTCACTAGCTGCTCTATTAGTATAACTATACCATTTAATAATAGTATCGCCTGTTATCATATCTTTAGTTAAATCTTTATACAAGTCAAAGAATTTATTTAATGATGAAAAAAAATGTTTAAAAGCTAATAAAACCTTAGAAGCTAGTTTATTCTTTGATATATATGAAAAAAAAAAATCATCAGCTGTTTTTAATAAGAATTTTCCTAGAAGTTCATTTATTGAAAGGTTTTTAGATATTTGTCTTGTAGATCGTAAAACTTTTTTGTATTAAGATAGATAATTAAAAATTAAATTACGATATATCTATATATAAATATTATTATTAGCAAACTTTAACTATAAATAGAATTAAGATAAATAATAAGTATATTAACCATTTGAATTATTTGTTTAGTAGCATTACGCTTATTACTAGCTCTATATGGCTTTTTTACAAAGTTCTTGTGCAAAGTTTCATATGTTTCTGTTGTGAATCCATTAATAGCTCTAAATTCTTTAATTGCTTTAATAGTATGATAACACCAATTATGCAATTTACATAATCGAAATTCTGATAGAGAATAACTTTAAAAAGTTTAACAAATAATTTTGCCCAACTCATAATTAAATCTTATAATATTGTAAAATACTTTTAATTAATATTATTAATATACAATATTGCAACTATTAAATAAAAAAATTATATTAAATATTAATAAATTTACCTTAAACTCTACAAGGTCTGATTCTAAAAAATATTCCTTTCAACTAAACAAATACATTTTGTTCCAGTAATAATAAATATTGATTAATTCAAAATTATATCATTTAGTGATATTTTTTTTAATTGAAATTTTATGATGTTTAATAATAATTCCTTCTATAACAAAGAGAAACACTTTCATTATATTGCAGAATTCATTAGCTGTAAAGTATTTAATATTTTTAAAGCCTTTTTTAAACACTTTAAGTCCAAAAAACCTTGACATTTTTGCTAAACATTGATCAAGCTCATTAATTGCTACATTTCCACAAAGATTATTTAGCATTTTTCTTGTATATTCTACTTGATATTTAAACAATCCTAAGTCCAAATGATGCATTTTGTCCAGAATTGTAGCTATATAAATGTTTAATTAGCTAATATTTTTTATAAATTATTATTAAATTACAGTATCATACAATGATTTCAGATGTCATAATCACAAAAAATAAATAAAATAAATAAAATAAAATAAAATAAATAATAAAATAAATTAATAAAATTTATTACAAAATATAAAATTTACATCAAATATAGATATAAATATATACTTACAGATATTTTCAAAATACATTTTTTATACTATATATGGAATATTGTTTTGAAAGTCCTTGATGAATAATGTTTTGCATTGTTTTCAAGATTCTTAAATTAATTTAATCTACATTTAACTTAATATTATTCATATCATTAAATGATATCAAGCATTTGTGACATAGATATTTACAATTAAAAGCATTATATATTAATGTTAGCAGTGAATGTTCTGGAAGGTCATCTAAAAAGACTGAAACAAATAGGTAGTATCATAAATCATCATTATTTGTTTGAAGATCAAACCTATTGTCTTTATAGTCAAGCAGTAGCTTTAAAATTACATCTAAAGAATATTAATACACAGACCATTTTGCAAATAAAAAATTACTTGATTTTTTTTGAGTAGTTGTTTTTGATTTTAAGATTGAAAGATAAGCCAAAAGAGCTTTAGCATTAGGTTTGTTTCTGTGCAAACTAAAAATATTGCCTAATGTCAAATATACTAGATATTTATTTGATTTTCCTAGTTGGTTACATGTAGTAGCATCAGAATATAATATTATTGATAAAATGCTTGCATCATGAAGAATTGTTTCTTTTGCCCTTTCTTACCATTTTCTATTAAATTGTTCATAATATATTTGTTGCTCTTGGTAGTACAATAGTGTAAACTCAAAGACACAATGATTAAGTATATCTTCATTGCTTAACAATTCTTTAATAGCATCAAAAATTAGACAATAATTAAAATAGTATATTTCACTTTTATATTCTACTATAGGTACTTTCTTAAAAGAAATATGTTGTACTATAATTTTGTCTAAACACTGCTTTCCTTATTGTATTGAGGTAGGTAAAATAATATTATCATATGCTATTTTTTTTGAAAAATGAAGTATTTCACTCACACATGAATCTGACAAATTCCATTTAATAACCAACTTCATAAAGTCATCGAATTCTTCATTTGGAAAATTTGGCATATCCTCACTATTTGCTAACCTAACATCAAGGGACTCAAAAACTAATGGTAACTTAATCTCAAACAATCGACACTCTACAATGTCCATCTATATATGTATATATGTATATAATTTTTGTAATTATTGAGTTATCCCTTAGATTGTAATACAGGCAAATTTGCCTGCGTCAATTTTTTTAAAATTAATTTTTATAATAAAATTTTAACAATTAATTTTAGTAATATACTTTCCAAGTAAAAAATATTTTTAAAAATCTACTTTATAAACTTTGTTAAGAAAGTTTTTTAACTTTATTAAAAACTTTTAATTAATTAAAGTTTAAAGGTTGTAT